AGTGCTCTTCCGATCTCCCCAAAACCCCAAAACCCCAAAACCCCAAAACCCCATAATGATGAATTAATTCGCGTTTAGTCATTAGAAATTGATAAATTATTGTTATTAATTCAAATAATTAAAAATTAAAGATGACTAAAGAGGAGAATACTCAGTCGTAGAAGAAGCCAGATGCCAAGAAGCCAGCAGAGAGTTCTAAAGAGGATGATAAGAAGAATTCTCAAGGAGGTGCTCCTTTGAGTGAATAGGATATTGCTCTGTTCAAGAGATACGGAAGGGGACCTTACGCAGAAACTCTTAAAAAGGCAGAGGAGGATGTGAAGGAATTTAACCAAAAAATATCTGTTCTTTGTGGCATTAAGGAATCAGACACTGGTTTGGCTTTGCCAGCTCAGTGGAATTTAGCTCAGGATCAAATGATGCTTAAGCAAGACCCCACCCTTTAAGTGGGAAGATGCAACAAAATCTTGAATGCAGGCACTGAGGACGCTAAATATATTGTGCATTTAAAGCATATGGGAAAATATGTTGTGGGGCTTGATGAAAAGCTAGCACCTACAGATGTTGAAGAAGGCATGAGAGTGGGCACTGAGAGAGCTGGAGTCGTTGGATCTAAATTGCAAATCAAGTTGCCTCTCCCCCCGAAGATCGACCCAAGTGTAACCATGATGACTGTTGAAGATAAACCAGATGTGACATATAATGATCTAGGAGGTTGCAAGGACCAAATTGACAAGATCAGAGAAGTAGTTGAACTTCCTCTCCTTCATCCAGAGAGATTCATTCAACTTGGTATTGACCCACCCAAAGGAGTGCTGCTCTACGGACCTCCAGGCACAGGAAAAACTTTGACTGCCAGAGCTGTAGCTAATAGAACTGACGCAACCTTTATCAGAGTTATTGGTTCAGAACTAGTGCAGAGATATGTGGGAGAGGGCGCTCGTATGGTTAGAGAAATATTCCAGCTTGCAAGAACAAAGAAGTCCTGCATTATCTTCTTCGATGAAATCGATGCTGTCGGAGGAGCTCGTTTCGGAGAGGGTGACTCTGAAGTGCAAAGAACCATGCTTGAAATTGTCAATCAACTTGATGGCTTCGACTCAAGAGGTAACGTTAAAATTCTGATGGCAACAAACAGACCTGACACTCTAGACCCAGCTCTTGCAAGACCAGGTCGTCTTGATCGTAAAATTGAGTTTGGCTTACCAGACTTGGAGGGTCGTGTCTAGATTTTCAAAATTCACGCTAAGACCATGGCTTTCGACAAGGACATCAGATTTGAGCTAATCGCTAGAATGTGTCCCAACACGACTGGTGCTGATATCAGATCTGTGTGCACTGAGGCAGGCATGTTTGCCATCAGAGCTAGAAGAAAGGCCATTACTGAGAAAGATCTAATGGATGCTATTGATAAAGTCATTAAGGGTTACTCTAAATTCAGTGCCACTCAAAAATATATGGTCTTCAATTGAGTATTTACATAAACATCAGTCTCATCTCTGGCATGCATTTGTAATAAAAGATTTCATATAATCAAAATTAAAGTTCATCTTTACTTCATGCAGTTTTTCATATCTAACCTATGTGGGGTTTTGGGGTTTTGGGGTTTTGGGGTTTTGGGGTTTTGGGG